TATGTATATATATATGTATATACACACATACACACACACTCACACACACATATTCCCAACCACGATGGGAAATGTTTGATATATTTCGCAGTTTCAGGCCAAGCCCACTGTGACTGATGTGTCACCATAGACTGAGCTCTGAGCTGGCGTGGGGCAGTTTTGACAGGGCTAGAAATTTGAGGGCTGAAGTTAGGCAGAGGTGGAGGCTGGGGGAGCAAAGTTCATCCCCATGATGGCTTCTCCTGTCTGCCCCCAGATCCAGAAGCCCGTGGTGAAAACCAACATGAAGAAACTGGTCCAGGAGCTGGAAGGACTTGCCCGGGCCCAAGTGAGAGGAGTGCTGAGTGCTCACTAGAGGGCAGGAGTCCGAGGGAGGCCTGGGAGCCTGGAGAGAGTTGGGGTGCTTGGAGGGAAGGGAGGGAACAAAGGCAAGGGATCGAGACCCCCTCCGCACCCAGGCTCCTAACCTTGTGATTGGACCTGAGAGTTTTGCAGCATAAGTTCTGCCACAAGTTCTGCCACTGACCAGCTGTGTGGCCTTGGGCAAATCACTCAACATCTCTAGGCCTAATAGAATAGGGAGTAGTTAACGTGCTCAGCTGCTAACTGGAAGGTTAGTGGTTTAAGTTCACCCAGAGCACCTCAGGAGAAAGACCTGGTGATGTACTTCTGAAAAATCAGCCTTTGAAAACCCTGTGTGCGCAGTTCTTCTCTGACACACGTGGGGGTACCAGGAGCCAGGTTTGAATCAATGGCAGCTGGCTTTTTAAAATGTGGAATGGAACACTTTTGCCTCACAGGGCTGTATGAACCAGATGAAGTAACCGTCGGACATCACACATTTGGGCAAGCCTTCTAATTGGACACTGCCTGCGGGTTGCACTGGGATAGGTGCTACGAGGACAGAGCAATGAATCAGATATCATGACAGTTGCTTTAAGGAGCTTAAACTCAATCAGGAAAAAGTAGCATTTTGTGTTTATAAATATTTGGAGTTTAAAGGTTCTCTCCAACATATATCTCATAGATATCCCTCTCCCTCTGCAGTATGAGCTGCACCTCAGACAGGCTCTATAGCTGATGCCAGGACTGGAACTTGGGCTTAAGTGCCCATGCCCTCAGTTCACTCCCTGGAACTCACAGCTTCCTGCCTCTGGGTCCAGGACTCTCCACTTCACCTCAGTGTACCTGGAAAAGGCTTGGAAAAAGATCCAGTGGCAAAGCCTGATGTGCCCTGGGCAGGGTGCCATTCTGATCTCTGTCCCTCCCCACCCCCACCCCAGGGCAATTCTGTGCTGGGGCAGCAGCTACAGGAGGAGGCCCTCACACTTAGAAGCCTCTATCAGGAGAGGGTCCTCCCCCAACAGATGCTGGTGGTAAGTTTGAGGGTTCAGGGAGCCTGGGGATGATGCAAACAGTTGGTATTCCACTACTGACCTAGAGGTTGGCAGTTTGAGCCCATCAGGCAGTGCCATGGAAGAAAGTCCTGGTGATCTGCTTCCATAACAGATTACAGTCACAAAACCCTATGGATCAGTTCTACTCTGTAACACATTGGGGGTTGCCATGAGTCAGAATTGACTTGACAGCAATGAGGCTCTTGTTGTTTTAGGGTCAGCAAGAGAGGAAGTATGTACCTGACAACCTCTTCCTCCCTAACCCTCCTTTCCTCTAACCATCCCTAACCTCTCTTTGCAGGCAAGGCTCAACCGCAGTGTCAGGGCCCTGGCGTCCTCCACCCCAAATCTCCAGGTGGCTGCTGAGGGAGGGGGATGGATTGGGGGGAACAGGTCTCTACCATGATGGGCAGCAAAAGGAGGCAGGAAGGGAGGGCCTAGCTGGCTTGGGACCTGGACTGTTCTGGCCAGACCCACTGGAAGTTGAGGGTGGGGATGGGAAGAAGATGAGGGAGGATGGCTAAATCCTTGAGGACCAGTCTTTGGCCTGTGTCCTCGGGGCCTAGCCCCACCCCCCTAAAGTGAGTATGTGTGTTTTATGTTGAGTTAGTGAGTGAATGATTGAATGAGTGGCTGCCCCTTGACTGAGCAGGGCCCTGAGTTGAGCCCCTCTCCCCTCCCCTAGTCAGAAACTTCAGCCATCCTGAACAATGCCACTTACCTGAAACAAGAACTTCCTGCCTGGGCCACCCGTATCCTGAGGAATGTGAGTGGATGCAGTGGGAAGTGGCAGAGGTTGCCTCAGGGCTGGAGGCAGTTGGGGGTGCTGAGGCACACAGAGCTCCCAGCCCAGGCTTCTCCTCCAGCCCTGCTCCCTCACCATGGCTCCTAGGAAAGCCTTACGCCTATCCTGATAGTGCCAGGTATCGGGGGACAGTGCTGGTTCATGGGGCCCCTGCCAGCCCAGACCTCCTTTCTTCCCTGCAGGAAAGTCAGTGTTACCTGACCCGGGAGATGGGCTACTTCTCCCAGTATGTGGCCTGGGTGAGAGAGGAGGTGAGTGGAGCTCAGACCCTGCCTGTCCTCCAAGCAACTACTAATCATCTACCTCTAGTGGCACCAACTGTGCCCTTCCTTGCCCCCTGGAACTCTTTGAGGGTGCTTTGTGCCTTCAAAATTGAACTCAAACTCCCAAATCTGGCATCTGAAGCCCCTGCTTGCTCTGCCCACCCAGCTTCTGCTGCTGCCCCATGCCCTTCCTATGCTGACCCCATTGCATAGCTTGTTCTGAGGCTAACCCAGCCCTCAAATTCTGCCTCCTCCTGGAGTCCTTGCTGACCACAGCCTCTAGAAGCTGTCTAGGCACTCATACCGGGTCTGCAGGGAGTCTTGCTGAATCCTGAGTGTCTTTGTGTGTGTATGTATGTGCACATGAACATATGAGCATGTATGTATGTACACATGTGTATACACATAACACATCTGTGCATGCATGCACATTGCTCTTCAGTAAAAATGTGACTTAAAGCACAGAGTTAGACACACAGGTTAGTGAATAGGATAAAAAGGGTAGGAGCTGAGCAATGAGCCTGTGTCCCTGTCACTCTGTGTACCTGTATCCAGACCAAAATGAAACCAAACTCACTGCTGTCGAGTTGATCCCGACTCATAGCGACCCCCTCTTGGCTTTCCAAGGTGGTATCTCTACAGAAGTAGATTGCCCAATCTTCCTTCCGTGGAGTGGCTAGTGGGTTTGAACTGCCAGCCTTCTGGCTAGCAATTAAATACCTTAGGCACTACGCCACCAGAGCTCCTATACCTGTATCCAGGGGTCTCTATATGTATCTGCCTCTTTGTGTCTGTGTACAACTGTGTCCTAGCACCCAGTTGTGTCCCTGGGCCTATGTGAGTCTCTATAAGTCTCTCTCTGAGTATGGGTGTACACTGTGGACCTAGGTGTCTTGCATGTACCTGCCTCATTTTGACACCACAGGTGACTCATCACATAGCCACCTGCCAGCCCCTCTCCGGAGCCCTGGACAATGGTCGTGTGATCCTATGTGACATGATGGCTGACCCCTGGGTGAGTGTCCCCTGGTTCATCTGGACATTGATGCTCCCATAGCAGGAGTGGTGTGAGCAGGCCATGAGGCAAGGCAGGGCTCCTGCTTTCCAGACCTGCACCCCATTCTGTCCCCAAAGCCCTCTTTAGCTTTAATTACCCCTTCTCTGTGCCCCTCATTGAACCGGTGGCAATGGCTAGGGGCAAAAAGGTGGGAAGGAGTCTCTTTCCAGCCAGGGTAGACTGACTCCCCCACCCTGACCCATGTTCCAGAATGCCTTCTGGTTCTGCCTGGCTTGGTGCACCTTCTTCTTGATCCCAAGCATTGTCTTTGCTGTCAAGACCTCCAAATACTTCCGCCCCATCCGGAAACGTCTCAGGTGAGGGGGCTATCAGGATCCCTGTGGGCAGTAGAGGCTCATAATGGAGTCCCTCCAGCTGCCAGGCCCCAGCCCCCTAGCACAACCCACTCCTGACACCTCCCAGGCAGAGGATGCTCATGGCTAAGTCTTGAAGAGCCACACAGTCTCAGGAGCTCCAGGATCAAAGAGTTCTCCCATATATCTGTCCCATATCCTTGCTGCAATACATCCACCCCTACATAGCTTCTTGGACCTCTTCCAATCCCCTGGAGGACTTCTCAGGAAGGAAAATCGGGGCTCTGGGCTTTGTCCCTGTGTCCAGGGCTGAGGGCCTGTGGCTGGGGCCTCACTTTCTTTCTGCGGATGCCACAGCTCCACCAGCTCTGAAGAGACACAGCTCTTCCACATCCCCCGCGTCACCTCCCTGAAACTGTAGCACCACAGTGGGTGAGTTTTCAAATCCTTTTTATACCTCCTCAGAGAGGAATGGTACTGGGTTGGAATCTTGAGTCTTGGGGCCCCAGGAGGACTGGAAGATGTGCAGCCTTGTCAGGGTCTGGGTATTGGGCCTGGCCCAACAAACTGGGCAAACACTGGACTGACAGGCCTGAGCCTTGCTCTCCCCCACCTGTTTCCTTGTTATCCATGACAGAGATGTTTGCTGATTGCACAGTGATGTCCCTGGAGCTACCTGTCCAGAGACAAGAGCTCTTCCCCCTTTGATTTAGTCTGGGTTTGGATTTCTGCAGAGCCCAGACTGACGCCCAGGCTGGATTGATGCCCAGGATGGATTGTCCCCCCCGCCCCCACCTGGCCCCATCTCGCCTGTTCCCTTTCCATCCCCTTTCTGATCCTCCTCCATTCATGCTCAAAAACACAGTTAATTCTATTGAACTAAGAAGCCAACAGGTTCTTCCATGTGTCCCTTTGCTGTACTATGTCAGCACCAGGTAGAACCTGTTCTATTTCTTACAACCCCTTTCCAAGACTCTTGGGTGGAAGAGACCCAGTCCAGCCCCTCTTATCACCATTTGCCCCTCTCCCTGCCCCTATTCCTGTCTAAGCCCCTTGCCCCTTGTCTTCATCTGGCCTTCCCCCTTGCCCCCACTTCACATCTGGTCCCTCCCCACCAGCCCTTGCTTCTTACCCCCAGGGAAGCATCCCCACCCCCTGCCTTGTCCTCTCTTTACCTTATCCTTATCTTTACCTTATCTTTATCTTACCTTGCTGGCTTGCAGAGACCTCTCCTGCCCAAGGAGAGTAATCTGATAAAGTCACCAAGCAGGTGAGTGGCTGACATGGCCTAGGCCTGGGCTTGTGGAGGAAGCTTGTGTCCATTCCAGGGCCTGGTTGCAGACTCTGCCTCATAGCCATTGACCCTGCATTGTCCCAAGGCCTCGACTGCAGCCTGAGTTTATTGCCCCCCCCCCCCCCGCCGCCCCAGCTGGAGTGAGAGAGGCGTGTCTGTGAAGACCCAGCCTCATGCCTGCATCCTGCATTAGACACAGCACTACTGTCCATTAGTTCCCTCCTAGGAAGGGAACTGGGACATGGAGCCTGAGAAGGAACTCCCCCTTGTCTCTCTGGAATCTAGCATCTTCCACAGCCCCCACCCAGCTTTCCAGGGAGGGACCTTGTGGCCAGAACAGGATGTTGCACTTTTGCCCTTATACCTTCTGTCCTGTGCATGTGGCCTGGGTCATCCCCATCCCATCCCTGCGCCCTCCTGCTGGACCCTGAGTTATGGAAACAAGGAAGAGGAGGAGGAAAAAGAAGAGAAGATGGATGGGACATCAGATACATTAAAGTGTTGTCACTTTCCTAAGCCTTGGTCGTGAGTCCTTGAAACAAGATCTCCTAGTCTGGGGCACTGTACACAACTGGCATTTAATGAGTATTTATGGAGAGGAGAATCCCAAGGTCTTCCCTAACTACAGACATCCAGGAATTTTCCAAGAAGTCAGCAGAAAGGGCATGGGAGCAGGTAGTCAGAAGCAGACAGACCTGGGTTCACATTCTGGCTCTGACACTTTGCTACCTTGTTACTTAGGTCCTCTAAACCTCAGTTTCTCCATTTGTAAAATGGGGGAAATAATCTTAGCCTAGTGGCTGCAATGATGGGCTCAAGCATGACAGTGATTGTGAGGGTGGCACAGGACTGGGCGTGTTTTGTTCTGTTGTACAGAGGGTTGCTATGAGTCAGAACCGACTTGATGGCATCTAACAACAACCACCCAAAAGGTTATGAAAATTAAATGTGATGATGCATGGAAAGTGCTTGCAGGGGCCTCACAAAAAACAAATGCTCACCAGACAGGAGCTGCTATTTTTTGCCATGCTATAGGCCAGGAGTGGAGCAATGGTCCAGGCAGATACAAGGGAAATAGGAGCTGGATCTCTGTTCTCAAAGGGAAAAAAATTTTATGGTTGCGGTCTGCTGAGTTTCAGGGCATGTCTATTTTTAATTGCATCTTATAAACCAGAGATAAATTAGCTGCTAGAGATTAGTATAGGGCATATGCAATCTATTGTCACTACTGCAAACTCATTCACAAACAAGCATCCTTGAATGTATATGATCCTGTTTTTGGCTTTGCCCAGAGGTTTTTACTTGATACTCATCTTTTGATCTGTGCATGGGAAGTAGCACCCTACATTTTAAGAATGCAGTTGATGTTATATCAAGCTCAATTGGCATAACATACTTTACAATAACATTCTTCTACATCCTACTTTGGTAACAACTAGGGTCTTAAAAGCTCGCAAGTGGCCATATAGATGCAATGCTGAGTCTCTCCTCCAGAGCAGAGCAGAATGCAGAAAAGCAAAGATACATGGAAACAATTAGCCCAAGGGACTAGTGGACCATGTGATCCTCAGCCTATATGACCATGAGACCAGAGGAACTAGATGGTGCCCAGCTACCACAGTCAACTATTCAGAAGATCAGTGCAAGAGATCCTGAATAGAGTGAGGGAACAATGTGGTACAAAACTCAAAATCATAAAAAAGACCAGGTTTGCTGGTCTGATAGAGCCTGGTGAGACCCCTGAGACTGTGGCCTCTAGTTACCCTTCAGCTCTAGAACTGAATTCACTCCTGTGGCTTCCAGCCAAACAATAGACAGGTATATAGGGTGAACATTTATATCAGGTAGATACACTACTTGGAGTGATCAATTGTGGGAGAACAGAAGGGCAGTGTTTGTGCAGGGAGATAGCTGGGGGTGGGATGAGGAGAGAGGTGAGAGTGCATGGGAGGGAAGAACACAGGGAAGAGGTAACTACAGGGAGGAAGTGGGAAGAGAGCTGTTACACTGTGGGGAATTCAGTCAGTGTCATGAAACAATGTGTATGAACTGCTGTGTGGAAAATGAATTTGCTCTATAAACTTTCACTCAAATCACAATAAAAATGAAAAGAAATGCAATTGATGTTATAAAAGAAATTGAAATTGAACAATTACAAAAATCATTTCTAGTTCTTTATCAAAATTGTCTACCTTTTATATATTTGAACATACTAAGCATGGGTATTTTAAAGTTTAATAACTCCCTTATATAGAGTTCTCAATTGGTCTGTTTCTAGTGTCTCCTTTTTCTCTTGGCTTTTGTTGCTTTTTTCTTTGTCTCCTTATATACCTAGCACTTTTTTTAAGTTAAATACCACACATTGTATCTGAAAACCTGTAGAAAAAATTGAGACCTAAGGTAAAGTTTGGGAACTCTGGTGGCATAGTGTCTAAGGCATTTGACTGCTAACCAGAAGGTTGGTGGTTCACACTCACCAGCCACTCTGTGAAATAAAGATAGAGCAATGTACTTTCATAAATATTTACTGCCTTGAAAACCCCATAGAGGTTTCTATGAGTTAGAATCGACTCGATGGCAGTGAGTTTTTTTTGTTTTGTTTTGTTTTAGGGTGAAGTTATCGTCCTCCAAGAGGATTTAGGTTTACTTCTGCCAGGAGGCATGGCATGCAAGTAAACCGGTATCGTTTAAATCCTCCTCAGGGACAGTTTGGAGCTGGGTTGTAGTCTCTTGGAGGGTTAATCTATTTCTAGCTCAATCTATTCGTATGGTGAAGCCCTTTGCGGTCCCAACCAAAGGCATGAAAGATTTGCCAGCCACTCCTTCCTCTTGGTGGGCCTCGTTTTTGCCATCTTTGCCCCAGAGACTATTAAAATCTCAGCTCATCATATTAGCAGTATCTTGTGGATTCAGTGGACTCTCTTAAGGAGACAGTAGTAGCCCCAGATGCCAGGCATATCTCTGGGTTCCCTTTTTTTCCTAATCTTAGCTTTGTGATATTTCCTGCCTGTTTGCTTCCCCAGTGCCATCAAATCAGACTAAAAAAATATTCTGTGCAGCTCTTTTAGTTGTTTTCATCTGGGAATTTGGTCCAAATTACCTAGTTCACCATTATCAGATGTAGTGATCTTAACAAATTAATGTTGATTTTGCCCCATTTGAATTGGGAAAAGGCTGACACTTTCAATTTTGCATTTAGTATCTGGAAACCTTGGTTCAGCCACTTGAACACTGGCTTTTCAAAGGAACTTAGTTTGGAGACCATTGTTGTTGGCACTGGTAGCCTGGGAATAGGGGTATTCCAACTCCAGCAGTTGACAAAGAGACAGAAACAGCCACCTAAAAACCATGTTTTAGGTTTTAAAACATTGGAGTCCTAAAATGCTAATACTACTGTATTGTATAATATAACTTTACATTTAACAAAGCCCCTTCATGGCCCCAGTCTCATCTGTCATCATGGCAGTCCCTGAAGGGTGTCGGAAGGATCATCCTTGTTTCATGGTTGAGCAAACTGAAGCTTATAGAGTTAGGTGGCTTGTTCAAGGTCACGTATATTGAAGCCCAGCCAGGCTTGGAATTCAGGTCTCCTGATTTTGGTGGCCCTGAAGGTTTCCACCAGCATGTATTGCTGGTCTTCATTCCCTGTGGATGTGTGGGAGGGAGGCCTTTGTCTCCAAGGAGACTTGATCCAAATGTTCTTGCTGTCCCTATGTCAGGAGGGATGACAGATTGGGGGCCCTGGGAACTCTGCCAGACATTCCAACTTGGCCATCCCACAGTAAAAGGCCCTGTGAGCCACGAGTGGCAGATCTTGTCAAGGAAATACCACACGGACTAGCGCATCTGAGGTCCCAGGTGACTGTATAAAGAGAAAAGCACATGGCTGGGACAAGAGCATACCCTGACTACCTGAGGGGACAAACAATGAGAGGTAACATTTATTTATTGAGTTTAAATATAATCTAGGAATTGTGGTATGCACTTTACATGAATTAACTGAGATGTGGACATTGCTATTAACCTATTTTACAATTGAAAGAACTAAGGCACAGAGACTGGCTATGGGCTGAGAAGAAAGGACGGTACTCACCCAAGGAATAAATTGATAACTGTGGCCTTCTAGG